CTACAGCTTCCTGTGATGGATTATACTGAACATGAGCCTCCTGCCACTCACTTATCTCAATGCATCCTCTTTCAGGGCTGACATGAGCATGAAAAACAAGAGATAGAGCAGGCCTTCCCCCTTGATGGGCAGAGGGCCATTCAGCCATCAGAAGATATTACATATGACTCCGGAATTTAGACTTTTTGACAGTATGTTGATTAGTAACCAAGCTTCCATAGTCAGAATGACCGCTACTGCTGTATAGTATTCCTTAAGCTGCTGGGTTTGTACAGTATAGTTTATGATCCTATACAAAAGTGATGAAGTAAGGGTTTAGTCAGTTATTTTGCTATATGGTAGCAGTTATGTTTGTGTCAATACTGCAATACTATCGTTGGCTTGGTGGTCCCTGCCCACTGAGGCTGGTGAACATCAGTGTAGTTCATATTTACTCCCCTGTTTTGCCTTGGTTTCTCTTTAAGATTCAACTTGCATCATTTTCACAAATGCTCTTATTATCAACATTTATTCAGTTTGAAATATGTAATTATTTCTTATATGATCTTCATTTTTCTCAAAATTGACTTCTTTTTTTGTTCTGTTTATACAGTACACCACACTTCCTATTTTTCTTAAAAATGTCATTTTTTTCACAAAATTATTAAAAATACTTTAAGTTTTCCTAATATGTTTACTTGTAATTAACTTTCATAATCTGTGGTGATTTATCTACTCAAGTCTCTGTATATTTCCTTAATTTGTCAGTATCCATTTATTTTATTCTCTCTCTCTCCCTCTCTCTCAAACCTTTGAATCACATTCATCTCAAAGAACCATGCTATATACTGTATATGAAAACTTCTATATAACTTAGCTTACACGTGCATAAATAATGCCATATATATTTGGCCTAAACATCTATAAGATAACTGCTTATAATTAGTAGTATATGATAACTGTCATATGTATTTGGGGCATATACTCTCATCTGCTGTTTTTTTTCACACTCCCTGTATCACTCTTGAGTAAACACCTCATCAAATCTATATTTACTCTGCAATTATTTTTACCTGATGACTATATAATTATTTTAAGCTTTGCTTTTATCAAAATATTCTTATATCATAAATTTTAATTAATTTCCTTAGTAAGTATTCCCTAAAATATTCACATATCAGAACTCTCAGCTTTTGTTATACGCTAATACTGCATAAAAGCCATGATATGTGCTCAGCAAAACTTTCTTCAAAATATTTAGAATTCATTTAAAATGTAACCTAGATTTTTCAGAAATGTATCATGCATACAATCAATATAATTTGCTAAATTTTCAAAATTCACCTTACACATGGGACCCTATAATGAAAAATTGAACCTTTTTTCATTAGAATAATGAAGTACAACTTTTTAGTAGTGATTAAGCGATTAATTGTTTTCTTTAATGCAACTTGTTTAATGTTTTTATTTTTGGTGTAACTCTAAGGTAAAATCATTTTTTAATTAAAATTTAATTGTATTTCTATAACTAAAGTTAACATTAGTTAAGATTACTGCATAAAAATATCTTCCCATGTTTATTTTTATTCAAATACATATAGCACGTACCAGTTGATTTATAGTTTTCCCCAAAACTAAGGCTACTGTAAATTGTATTATTAGAAAGTATTTATGTTTAAGATGCCTGGAGAAAAGTTCTGCATATAAGAAAATTTGCTTAAAAAATTCCACACATGCATGATCACTAAAAACATTATAACCAGAGTGGTGATATTAGTGATCGTTGCTGTGTGCTACTGTTGCCTTACAACTTGTGGCCATTGGCTGGTTTTTATCCTGCGGTGGCCCCTCACACCCAGCCTTTGTCCCTCGGTAGTATTATGCCACATGTATGACCTCTTTTCAAAAAAACTTTGCCTTACTAATTACACAGTACTAAAAATTGTTGGAATATTTGCATGCAGCTCATGTATATGAAAGAAAAATGCACTGTTTTCATGTTAGAGTTGAGCCTGTTCAAGCATGTCACTGAGGTCGAGGGTGTGAGGCAGTGCCGAGGCAGCCCTGGGGTAGTATAATCCTCAAGTGTAGAGACAAGATCTGGGGATTAGCGCTTGTGTCCTTGACGTGGGTGTTACATTGACCTGACCTGACCTGACTTGACAGATCACCATCATGTGCGTAACTCTGTCAAGACTGCCTCCTTGTCCTCCTCACTCTCCTGGCACGCAGGTGAGTTGCTGGACTGCAGGAGGAGTCTTTCTGCACACCCTCCCACCAATAGGCCATTTCAGCCACAGCTCACTAGCCTCAGGAACGCACCCTGTCTTGTCGTCATGCCACTGTGTGTAGTCCCACTGTAGGAAGCAGCACCTACTGACATGCTGCTCATCATTCCCTCCCTCAGTAGCCCCACTAAGGTGCACACAGTCTCTTGCACCTTTTATTTTTTTTTTGCTATTGCTGTCATATTCTATCTTACTGGTAAACTAGAACCTTCATAGTTGTATGTAATACAGTATATATATTAAGTCTCTCACTCTGTACAATGCATATTCTAACATGGCACATAACCAGCAGTATTCAAAGTAATCAATAAATGAATAATTTCTTGTGAAGGACAATTATGTCTTAGTCTTTATTTCATAGGAAACCCAGTGCACATAATCAATGATGTAAATTTTATGGTATCCTTCCCCTTTCCCTTAACATTCAATAAGATATCTGTTGTTTCCTTGTTACATACAATGAAAAAGCCTCCAAGTGAGTCTGTATAATGTACTGAGAGTTTATTGTAATTTCTTAATAGGTCCTTTGTAATTATTGGTCTTTGGTATGCCAAATGGGCAAGAATAGCCTCTTGTGTGGCTTTTACATTCCTCTATAGAATGTTTACTCTTGTTGTAATCTGAAGACAGGATACAACTTTGTTTGATTGCGTGCTGGGCATCAGTGGGGCCTCTACTGAAGCTGACCTGTTAGGCTCTTATGTTGTTGTGTTCAGCAGTGCACGGGTATCTTATTGGCATCCTGGATGTTGTGCCACTCAACCACTTGTTGCTCTAGGTACATCTGGCATTCATGTTATGTTGCAGATATTACACTCAGAAATGTCATGTATTGTATGTCCTGGGACAGTTTAATTGTAGAATAGACTACAGCATATAATACTGGTGAAACACATGTCAGAATGTAGAGATGTACCTGCTACCTGCTACCCATTGCCAGCTAGTGAGGCTGTGTTGGATGTTAAATGTTTCTTCGCATGCAGACAGGTGCTAGTGTATTGCAACTGGAAGTCGCATCCTATCTCTGCTTGCAGCCACGGGATGGACTTGTAGTTTAGGACATTTAGGTAGCAAAGAAAATGTGTAAGCATACCATGCCTAATTTTTAGGATTGTTGCTCACGTCATTTCGGTTGAAGTAGTGTTTGCAAGAGACTGCATTTTCTTTGTTCCTTTAAATATGCATTATGCAAAGTAAAATGGTTTGCCAGAGTGTGCCCAAGGAAATGTTTGGGATCATATGTTAGATGAGAATGGTATATGATTCAGTTATATATTGAGGTCAGACAAAGGTTTTTCCTGAGGACTCACTGATGTTCCATGTTATCATAAGTGACATGGCTTTAGATAATAATTTGTAACTTTGCATTTTGCATGAAAAAATAGTAGTTCAAATCTATTGAAAACAGTAGTAAATATATGTATGAAGCGTTTGCACATTGTGTAAATTGTCGGTGAGAGGATCATGATTTATATAAGGCCCTAGCATGTAGTGAAATGCAACATCATGAATATGGTATAAGATTTATACATAAGCCAATAATTAATTATGCAGTACTTGAAAAATAATGTATATATGGATAGACAGTTTGAATGCTTACAAGTGAGCTGATCTACATCAGAATAGAAAAACTGTGCATATAGATTGATAATAAGAATGTAAATGTTAATGTTAAACATAATTGACAACATGACCAAGGAAAAAAGGAAATTATAAGATGGGATTAATTTTACCATTAATGGTGTTTTCCCCCCCCTACTCACAAAAATATCTCTGCTGTGTTATCAGCCAATAGGACAACAATGTTTTGGACCGTGAGTATCGTGTTCCTCTGTCGTCAACTTCTGCGAGTTCTACTAGCAGTTTTACTAATGAACCATGTTTAACCCTTCTGCCTAGGAAGACTGGTTGTAGTATTTAGTCACCAATAGGAGTTATAGGAACAAAAACACTGTCTGTATAGTAAGACCAATGTTATATTACATGGTCAGTAAGGCCATTATATACTTTGAGTACTTAGACAAGTATAGGCAGAACTATGTATAATGACTGGAGACACACACTTAAGGACTTGGTGGTCATAATGTTCATCTAAAAAGAACAGCAGAAATTATAAAAGCTTGTTTAGGACCAGTGGAATTTCCTGCTTGAAAGAAAAACATAACAATGATTGAATATCCTTTTAACACAAACATTAAAACTCATATGGACAACCAACTTGAACCGTAAGGTGCACACATATTGTCTGAGTTACTTTAAATAATTACTCTATGTTCCAAAGTTGACAAAACCTTTGGTGCTACCATCCAACAGTCACATGCCCTCATGAAGTTCTCAACTCTAAAACTTTGACATCATTTTGATATATGTAAACTAATATTTAATTTCTTTGATAGTTCATTACCTAAATAAATATTTCTTTTCTTTGATGTTTGCCAAGCATGGATATTGCATGTATCCCTCAAATTCAATAAAAATGTTTTAATTTAAAATGTAATTGGAATGTAGAGAAATCCAATTTTGTTTGTGTGATATCATACTAATCAAATTACTTAATTACTAAAAATAAATGAGTGTTTTTTGAATGTCTTTCAACTGTTCTTGCTATACTTTTGCACAGCATTTTTTCTTTTAATTTAAATTCCTTGAAAATGAATATGAAAGTGTGCCATTTAAAATAAAATATCCTTAATAGACATTTTAAATCATTTTCTAATTTGTTTTTCATTACAG